CCCTGCCCCTCCCCCTGCCTCACCCGCGTGCGGCCGTCGGCTCGGCCCGCCGCGGCACAACTCAGTTGTAAGGACGCCGTCGGGGGGCGAACACATTGCCGTCGCGTCGAGCGGGGCCCTGGCGTGTTGTCGCGGCCCACGATACACGTCGCCGCCGGGGTGCGCCGATTTTCCCTCCTCCCCCTTCCCTCTCTCTCTCTCTCTTCTCTCTCGTGCCCCTCTTGCTATCTCGCTCTTGCAGAGAGAACTGCGCTATCAGCCTCCCATACCCGCCCAAAAGTGAAAAATAATATTAAGAGGGACTTAAAAACATCTTTCAGGGGCTCGGGAGCGGGACTCCCTAATTGTTATCAGCTTTAGAGAGCAAGAGAAAGAGATAGAAAGAGTGAGAAGTATTTACTCTTCCGCCTCACAATCAGTGACAGAGAGTGGGAGAATATATTCTGCTCCAACCATCAACGCGGCCCGCAACTCGCGCCCATGTGTCCGGAGCGCCACAGTGATCGGAGAAGTGAGTCAGAGTGTCGTCGGAGTGCATCAGGCTCCACTGTGCTTATTTTCCGTCGAATTCACGTTTCACTTGGGTTCCCTCGAGTTCGGCTTCGGTGTGCACGCACAAAGTCAACAGATTCGACCCCCCCCCCCCCCCCACTCGGCAGAGTGAGTGCCTGCGTGTGTTTGCTTAGCAGCCTGCGTCGTGCACGATAGTTAGGGGTGGAGAGAAGGTGAGTCCGCGCGAGAGTGCAAGAGAGAAGGAGGCTGGAGCTTCCTTAACACCACTTCAAGTTATCTCGAGAGCCCAGCAGTTGGGCGGCTCGTCGGGGTGGCTTAGGTCTTCAATTTCCTGGACACCTTTAAGTTTTCCATGCATCAATCATAAATCATTTCTGACGTAGAATGGAATCGAGAAGGTGTCTAGTGAATGGCCGCGAACATGCTGATACAGTACAATGGTCGGTGTTTTAACGAGGCTTAAAGCCATTGACTACCGCAGCCTCTCTTTCCCCCACCTCCAAAGATAAAGTGCGTTACGTGGTTATAAAGAACCCCGCTCCGGTACGGGGTGGTTCTCCCCTTGGCCTTGGCTCCGGGGCTGCTGCCTACCGCCGCTTGCAGTGCACCAGGCTCAGCTCGGAGCTTGTCTGAGTCCCTTCGGCCCCACCGCCGACCCCGCCCGCACGGGTCCAACAGGGCCCGGTGGTTGCCCGCAGAGCGAGGGGGCTTTGTGGTGAGAGCTCCCAGCGGTAGCGGTTTAGGGGGGGGGGGGCTACACTGAGCACGAGCCTTTGACTGTATACCTGCACTTACAACTTGACGTGTGGCCAACTCGACGTTTTCTTTCTGAATTTAGTGAGTGAAGGCAGTATATGACCGACACCGACACAAGGCCCACTCCGTCGCCGTCGTCGTTGCAGAGCGCGGTGCAAGGTGCAGCGGCGGGAGCTCTGATAACAGCAGCAGCAGCAGTGCCGGGCCACATGGGGCATGACCCCGCAGCCCGTGCCTCGCCAGCCCGCGCCGCGCTCCCCGCCGCCCCGGACCTCGCCACGAGTGCCCTTCGTGGAGCCGGTGGCTCTGGTGCGTGCCCTGCCGCCCTCGCCGCCCTGCTCCCCATCCGAGCTCGGAGGCCATGCGATCGCCGTCGAAGTCAACAACACGGTAGGCAACCGCGGCTTCGATTGTCGGATATTTTTACTCGTCTCGATGTCCCTGCAGCGTTGTCCTGCTTGTCGTCCTACAGGCTGAGCAGCAGCAGCAAGGTCGAGGATTCGTCGCGGACCTCGACGAGGACGGCGTCGACGACGCCATGGGGCTGGGCGCGGGTGAGAGCGGCGGAGCCCGGAGGCCCGGCCTTAAGAGGACGGCCCTCTCCGAATCCACCGAGACGCACCACCACCACCATCAGCACCACCACCGGCACCACTCGGACCCGGACCCTGCCACAGCTACGACCATCGCCAAGCTGGACGTCCGAGATGCAGCCGACAGCATCCTGCACCAGCAGGTGCATGAGCGCGAGAAGCGGCTGCGACAGCAGCAGCACAGCGACGCGCTCAGGGTCAAGGTGGTGCAGCAGGCGGTGCAGGAGAAGGCCTCCAGGTCGGCACCTCAGCGAGGCCGGTCCGTGACGCTGACAGCCTCCCACAGCCACGCGAGGCCGCAGCGCTGGTCTATCGGGGAGCCCTCCGAGCTGCTGGCGGGTCTAGCGGTGCGCGCGCCGTGGGACGCCGTGCCCTGCACCTCCCCGCCGTCCGAGGCGTCCGCTGCGAACGGCATCCCCACCGTGTCCCTGCAAATTAAGCAGGGCCACGGTCACGGTCACCCACCGGAGCGCTGCACGACAGACATTGCGCACGAGCGCTGCGGCGATGAGCCCATTTTCACCGACCACCTCGTCCGCTTCGGTGAGCATCGATTTATAGAGCAGAAGCTAGACTTGAATAAAAACTTGTGTTCGTTTGGCATAGAGAAATGTTTTGTGTCCACAAGAGAAATTTTCGTTCGCGCTAGCAAAGCTTCGAGGTCCCAACCGGTCCCAACATGAGTGTTTGTGTTTGTGCCGCTTGACGACAACCCTTTGTCCGCAGTGTACCCGGAGCGCGGCTGCCACGTGCGCGTGCGCGACGAGGGCGTGCAGGCGTCCGGGCCGCCGCCGCTGCAGCTGCGCGTCCTGCCGCAGCACCGGTGCGCGTGCAGTCCGTGCGGGCGCGGCGCGCGCGGCGCCGGTGTCGGGCCGTGCGTGTGGGTGGTGCAGGCGCTGTTCTCGCTGGCCGGCCTGGCCTGCGTCATCCTGGTCCTCGCGCTGGTGGGCGCGGCCGCCTTCCACGCCACTGAGGGCCCGCATGAGGATCTCCAGGTGCGCCAGCTCAATCGAGAGCAGACGGAGCTCGTCGTGCAACTCGCCACGGACCTCCGCGTCGTGCTCCCGGACGACGCCACCTGGCGCGCCGCCATCGAGCGCTCCGTGGAGAGCCACGAGCAGATGGTGCTGCGCGCCGCGGCCGCGGGCTACGGCGAAGGCGGCGCCGGGGAGGGCGGCGCGCGCATCTGGACCTACCCGGGCGGGCTGCTGTTCGCCGCGTCTTTGCTCACGACCCTGGGTAAGCTCAGCTCACGAGGTGTGGTGTGATGTCGCCCTTTCACGCTGCTCCACGGCTTGCTCCCGTGCCCTTTTCCAGGCCCTGCCCTAATGTTAGGTCAGGGGAAGGTGTTGTCCGTCGGAAGGCGGCCTTGCGCCCTGCCCCGCTGGGGTCGTGCGTCCTCAGCGGGCGCCTCCCTTTGTGAGGTAAAGGGCGGCAGCCGGCCGGGCAGGGCGGGGCGGGGTCCCCTCGAGCGGAGCGGGTAGGCCTCCTCCAGGCACCGGAGTCGGGCGGGACGGCCTACCCTCTCCTTTGCAGGGGCCTTCTCGGAGGTGCGCTGTCGAGCAGAGTGTCTCCCGAGTCTTAAGAATATCTTTATCTTGCTACCGCATTACGATGGCCACTTCCACGGTAGCCTGGCTATTTCTACGATACGAGAGGCCCTTAGGTTGGTCTGTATATAACCCCTTTCCCTCCATTGTGTGAGAGGGTAGAGTAAGGACGGTGACTCCCCCAGGCCGGGTCGCGAGGCGCGAGGCGCGAGGCCGAGGCGTGGGGCGTGACCCAGAAGGGCTGTTGGTTCTATCTGGTGAGACCTGGTCCGCGTATCGATTGTACCCACTCCGGTCGACTGGAGTGCGCGGAGGACCACCTGCTGCGGGCCGGTGTGCCCGGCGGCCGGCGCCGAGCGGCGGCGTAGCATGGCGTAGCCGCCCAGGTATCAGCCTCACGCTGCTTGTTCTTTTGACCCCGCTCAGGTTTCGGTGCACCGGTGCCGCGCACGCCGCTGGGCAGGCTGACCGCCGTCGTGCTGGCCGTGCTGGGCATCCCCCTCAACGTGGTGCTGGCGCTGCAGCTGGGCCGCCAGCTGTGCGTGCGCTTGCCGCGCCTGCTGCCGCTGCTGTCCGCGTCGCGCCCGCCCGCCGTCCACCCCTCGCCGCCCTCCAAGGGTCGCACGCCCTGCTCCACCTGCTGGTCCGCGCCCGCCATGCCAGGTGAGAGCCCAGACCATGAAAGGGGGAATCGTATGTACACCATTTTGTTTTATTTTATTACGGGGGAGTACTTCAGGATTATCATTAAAGCACTTTGCTGAAAGCTGCTCAACCAGTTAAATCCGCTGTTTGTTTACCCACACTTATCGTGGCTTCCGAAATGCCCATGCTTACCAACCTGGGTTGAAACAAGGTTTACTTTTAACTCCTTTTTGGTTGAAATAAAGTTGATCCAGGTGGCGCGCGCTGCGAGGACGGCGCCGGGCTGGGCTTCCGTTGGGCGCCGCTGCTGCTGCCCGTGGGCTCGCTCCTCGTCTACTACGTCCTGGGCATGGCGCTGTTTGGCGCGGTGCTGGCGCTGCCCGCCTCCGAGTGGGTCGTGTTCCCGCTGTCGCTGACGGCCGCTGGCGGCGTGGCGCGCGTGCCCGGCTGGGTGCGCGTGTGCTACGCCGCCTACCTGGAGGGCGGCGTGCTGCTGGCGGCCGTGGCCGTCGCGCTGCTCCAGGCGCCCGCCACCACCGCCACCACTGACTTTGCCATGGGGCTCGGCATCCTGGACCTGGACGAGTACTACTCGGCGTAGTGTGTGCATGCGTCTGGGCTCGAGTGACGCCAGTTTGTAGAGCTGCGCAACAGGCGGGTGGGTACTCGGCCCTCTCAGCTGTGGGTAGCCTGCTATTCGTTCCTGGTCCGCGCAGGCTGCCTCACTAGCTCTCGTGAGTGTCTCTGCGCTGGCTTGGTACTCGGTTCGGCTTTAGTGGAAGACTATGATATACCAACTTCTCTCCTCTCCACCTTCGGAGCGGATCATGCACACTACCTGCGTGAGACGCAGCTCTATCAGTTTGGATAGAAATAGCTAATAAAATATTTTCATACTCTTGAGGCTGACTTTATCAGTCATGCTGTAATGCCATGTAATTCAATCATATGTACTTCCCTGTTATTGTAATATATGTTCTTGCAAGTAGGCTCTACCAGCATGTAAAAGTATGGCTCAATGAGATTTCATGTCATATGTTCAATAGGTTCATCACAGAAGACTACCACATGTGTTGGATGGAGGAAAGAAAATTTGTACTCAAATTTCATACAAACATAACATTTATTAAGTCTGCGCGCATATGTGATCAACTTTTGAATTAACATCCATAAACCAATTTTCATCGGTTAAAAGAATGACAAAATAGCACACTAAATGTAAGCTAAGGAATGACACCTTTGCCTAAGCTTACATAATAACAATGCTTGTAGTTATAAAGTATTACTATGGCAATAATGACTATTCACTGTCGACAGGAAATGATCACACACTTTTGTCATCAAACAGAGTGTTGAATAATAGTAAATTTTATACGGTCAATATTTTACATTGTTTCTGAACATGGGCATGCACTACAGATAAATATCTACAACTTTGCTATTACTGTCTAACTGTTTCTTCTGACTCCTTCTTATTACTTCCCTCATCTATCACAGATTTTGAATCATTTTCTGCATTCCCACTGTCAGCTTTTGTTGGAGGGACCGAACTGTCAGCAGGTTCAGTTCTACTGCCTTCTTTAACATCCGAATCACTTTCCTGACTAACTTCTGGCTTTCCTGAATCCGTTTTAGGAATTAATCGGACCTTGCTCCCTGAAAAAACAAGCCATACATTTGTTTACAATTTTTGTCTTTGATCTTGGGCATAAAATAGAAGAAATATGAGCTAAACTTATTTTTTGAACATACAAACAAATTTCCACAATTGATAGAAAATTATTAGAGAATTGCACATTCATGATCATAATTAGTTTGGTGTGGTTAAAAACTGGATGGGAATGTAATTTGAAGGGCTATAACAGACTTATTGCTTTTTGTGTGCTAAGAACTTCAGTAGTTAATTATTTTTATGTTGTGCAGCATTCTTAGAATTAGAAAACATACACCAGCATGCACAACACAAATTATACAACTAAATAAAACCAACAGCCACAAATGGAAAGCAATTGCTTACCAGCACCACCCTTAGGAGGTAACCAATGGTCACACTCAGATTCCAGAAAATAGCTAAGTGTTTGTACAGCATCATTATCTTTTTCCTGGAAAAATGTTGCTGTTCAACACTCATCTACCTTCCAATACTGGTCAAAAGTGTCATGATAATGATATCAAGGGCACCATCAAAATTTTCACTCCCAATTAAAATCAAGTATAAAAACATAGAATGTTTACTACTATTAACAAATATCCAAATTTAAAAACAATTAAAAGTTCTATCCAAGTATAGCTTTTTTAATTTTGGATAGTAATCCTCCAAACAAGGGCTTAGTCTTCTCTTCTTGCTTTAACTCTTCCATTACTTTTTCTTCCGAGCCAGCCATTTTAGTTGACTTTGGATCCCCTGCCCCTGCACCAACATAACCAAGAACAAAAAATAATCAGATAATCCTATTCCCAATTACTTCACTTAAGTTTGATAATCTAAGTCAAACTGATGGCCAGCATTGGAAGAACAAGTAAGGGATTACGGAAAAATGTCTGTTCTCTCATAATACCCCAAAATAATATTACAATTAAGTACTAAATGCCCTCATGAGTGAAGACAGGTAAGAAGATAGATAATAGTTCACTTACCATCTTTCCTGAATGCAATTCCAAATATAGTTCCAGGAGTGTCCTCTTCCAGCTCTGCATAAGCAATCATAAGTTCTTTCTGCTCGGGTGTGAGTGACTTAGGCAATTTTATCTTGATGTTGACATAATGGTCACCATAACCATATCCAGAAACTAGCTTCATTCCTTTAGATTTCAAGCAAATCTTGGTATGTGATGAGGTCAGTGGAGAAACCTGAAAAATAAGAAATTTTGTGAAGATTCTTGAGGACACAAAAGTTGTACACTTGACCAGACAAGCCCAACACTACCAACCTGGATAGTCTGATCCTCATAAACACCCTGAATTCTAATGGTTCCACCTAAAACTGCTTGTGCAAGTGAAATGTCTGCATCAGTGTGAACATCTGCTCCTTGCTGTCTAAAATAAGCTGATTTTTCAACTCTAACAGTAATGAAAAGTTCCTTTCTGCCAACTGCCATGCGCAAAGTTTGACCATCTTGAACACCTAACATTCAAAAAGGATTTCAAAATGATGAGTAAACAAAGGGATCTAAATTGATTGATGCAGTCTCATGATATGATCGGACAGTAGGTTACTTACCTGCAGGGATAGGAACAGTGACCCTTTTCCTCTGTAGAGTTTTCCCATTCCCTCCACACTCCCTACATGGATGCTTTATAGACATGGTACTTCCATTGCAGACACGACATGGAGTACGCATAACAAATGGGCCTTGACAAAAAGAAATCATGATTGGTTAGAAGAATCACTTTCAAGAAGTTGACAATACTGCATGTAGAATTTCATTACCTGTTTTGATGGTTTCCATGCCAGATCCATTACAGGCTTCACATTTAGTTGCTTTCGTTCCTGGCTCAGCTCTTGTACCTTTACATGCAGGGCATGTGTCCACAATGTTAACATCAACATCCTTGTTGATTCCACGAGCAGCTTGAGCAAAGGTAAGTTTAACAGAGACCTGAAGTTACAAACAAATATATTAGAATTTCAAAAAATTATTGTAATGCCTAGTCATGATAAATCAGATTAGATAATCAAACAGATTTAAACTCAGGAAGAAATAAATTAGGATCATAGTCATCAATGTGGACCCAAATTTTATAGTAAAGTCTTAAAAAATTCTAGTTTATTTTTATTTGTTCTGAAGGCACTGCTAACTACTGTGGCTAAGTCCCTACCTCCACTGTCAATCGTAAAGCAACTTTATAAGTACAATAAGAATAAGAAAAATGATCAGAAAACGTTTTGAGGCTGCATTTGCTTATTGGGCAAAATCTGAAAGCTGAGACAAACTTCTAACAGGATGTCCATCTACCCTAAAACCCAATCTTTAAAATTGGATCCAAGTTGGTGGCTGTGACCCTTTTATTTTTTTTCTTTAGGCATTATCCTCTCTGTACCTCTTGGCCTGATCCAAAACCAAATGCTGAGTCAGCAAAGTCTTCAGTAAAAGACTGGAATCCATGATGGTCACCAAATATTTTCCTGAAGAGTTCTTCCGGATCAACAGATGATCGGTATTCCCAGTTCATTCCTTGGCCAGCTCCTGGCCTGGCTTTTCCTCCTCTTGGGCCAAACCCTCCACCTTCTCGACCCATCTGCTCTGAAGTTGTGCCCCAAGCATCATATTCTCTTCTTTTTGTATCATCACTGAGAACCTGAAATGTAATAAATGAACATTTGTATGGTTCACTTGTGAAAGGTGTAGGTGGCTTGACTATTATTCATATGATTCGTACCTCATATGCCTCAGATACTTCCTGAAACTTCTTAGAAGCATTAGGATCATCTTTATTAGTGTCTGGATGATACTTTTTAGCTAGTTGATAATATGCCTTTTTGATCTCTTTGGAGTCTGCTTTTTTGTTCACACCTAAGACATCATAATAATCCTTTCTTGAGAGTTTTGATGAGCTGTGGAAACTTCTTGATTCACCTAGGACACACAGGAAAAAATTGTGTTAAGACAGATAAAAGGATAATTTGAGAAGAGCTTGACTAGTTAAACATGTTGCGTGCAGGGAGGGGAGGGCGGGGTGGTACATTCATATAGATTGTGTGAAACTGCAGATTTTGTTCTTTCCTCGCCATGCTTACTAAAACAGAGGTGCATGCTCACTTGGTTGCGACCATGCTAAACAATGGGTTTTGGCTGTGTGGTGGAGTTTTTGAGAGGGATTTTTGCTTCGTTATATTTTGGCGCTACCCTACTCCACTCTGGGAAAGTTGTTCATTCATTGGAATAAATTAACTGATAGCGCACAGTTACATAGGGTATTCCTAACCTTGATTCGCACACTGAATTAGACCTTAACCGATGAACAGTCCGTGACAACCACCAAGAAAGGTCAATTAAACACACAAGAAACGTAAGAATAAACAATTTCATAAGAGATGTGAAACCGTGATGATTTTTTTGTTGGAGAACTTACCTGTGTGTTGGTTACATCGGCGAAGGACATCATGATATGTTCTTGGCACACCACATACTGAAGTAAAGCTACAAAGTCTAATACAAACAGTACACTTGTCATTTGTTCGAGACGAAATTTTCGTGAAACTATTGAAAGGAGACTGTCTATAACTAAATATTCGAACTAATCCTCTAGTGGCCATGGTTCAGCCTTCTGCACACGCTTGCTACCTTCTCCCGTATATACTCCGGCTACATTAGGGGTATCTCTTTAGATAGTAGATATTTGCACGAGCTGGGACCTCCTAGGTCAAATAACCACCAGGGCGGTATTTGCACGACCCGTGTAAAACCTGTTATTTGCACAACTTTCACATACATTTGACCAACGTCATATCTGTCGCCAAACTGGTCGATTGACATACAGGTGGTGCTATTTCCCATTTCTTTTCACATATTAATCTTTTATCACTCGGTACCGGTGGTTGTGGTTAACGGAACGGAACGGAACGGAACGAAGCAGAACGGCCGCTCGCAGCGCTATCTTGCGTCGCAGCAGCAGACAATCGGACAGCGTCGAACGCGTAAACAACAACAACCGACTGAACGTAGGTACTTTCTAAAATAAGAACAACCACAACCGGTTGCTTTTGGTTTTCTGCAGCCTTTTGCTATAGTTTTCTCTGAACACAGTAGCCTCCCTGTAGGCAAGGAAGGCAAAGTTTAGACTAGTACTCACCTGGTTCGGATCTTCTGAAAAAAATTCCTCACCACAAACAAACTGTCTGCATCTGTAAGCTATCAAACTTTTGAAAGAAATCAATCATTCTCTTCAAAATGATACTACTTATAGTTATGCGAGACATTTTTCTTGCTTTTTGTTGTTGGAGTGTGTTACTTAGAGGAAGTAAGGTGGTAAGATTTAGTTTGAACTTAACCTATTATCTTTCTGTTTCTGTGTGTCTCAGGTTTAAGTTTGAAAAGAATGCTGTTTTAGCTTTCATCATGACTTCATTTCCCAATCATGACAGTGTCTACACATCAAGCTCAGTTTTCCTGCGAGATGAGTATGACTTTGATGATGACAACGATGATCTGGAGGAAGAGCGTGAAAATGAAGAACAGGATGAAAGCGATGAAGGTATTAATCATTTTGTTACAATTGTCCATTATTTTTATTTCTCTCTCATCCGATAACCTTTTTTGTCATATGAATGAATTGATATTGCCAATAGGTATACTTTCTAAAGTTTCAAATTTTTACTCGTTCTTTACCTCCTACACCTCTTCTAGGGAGGTAGAGAATGAGGATTGTGCTCGGTATGGTGTAATTTAGGTCCCACTTACAGCGAAGAAACGGTGATACATACAGTTATGATGGTGTAACAAAAATGTTGCATTTTGTGTCTGAATGAATCAATAATAGAGGGTTTTTTTTCGAATTTCTAAGCAAATTTTAAAGAAATCACGAATTCAAAAATCGAGTAAACACGCCGAACCCTTCGCCCGCGAGCCACTTATTATGATCTGATCAGAATTTAACATGACAACATAAAAATACGTCATCTAATTACATAATATGATAAAGTTAGCTACTGCAAAGTGTATCAATATGTTTTTAACCATTTCTTATTCGTAATTGCAATATAAGCATTACTATAATTTTATTGACAAACATTGAAAACGTCAACACCAACACAATATGAAGAGCGCATGCGCGGTTTACATCAATCTGCCGCCGGCCAAGTTGTTGGGGTTCTCAATAGATGGGGTTGTCCGCGCATGCGTGACTTACAACAATGAGTAGGGTGGCTTTCCCTTGCGAATTCAGTAATAACCATTGAAAATGACTTAATATTGATTCAGTTGAAAAATATGCCATTTACCATTTCTGATAGTGTTAAGCATTTAACAAAACATAAATTACACCATACTTTAAGGTAAAGAACGAGGTTGCCCCCATTGTATCAAATTAATTTGATCCATTCTGTTTCTTCTTGTTATTATCTTCAGATACAGAGGAGGCTAGTGAATCAGAGATGGGGAAGCCAGAAGAATATACAGAAATAAGAGAGCAGTAAGTAAAAGAGAAATATTTTGAATTTTTAAAGTTGTGTGTTTGTTTGGTTAATATTATTTCCAATGACCATTCGTATGTAGAATGTATCGTGATAAGCTAGCTAGCTTCAAAAAGCAGTTGCAGCAGTTAAAAGACGGTACTCATCCTGATTACAATCGGAAGCTGAAGAAACTTGAAGCCAACTACAAAGAGCGGTTAAGT